TAAAAATCTGATTTTTGAAAAGGAGTTGGAAACAATCTTTTTCTAACACTAATGAGTTGTCATAGCGGTTGCCTGTTTTCATTATGTAATTTCATTCAGCTTCTACACTGGCAAAATATCTACCTGCATCTTAGGTTGGGGGTGCAGTGGGGTGCTGGCTTTAGCTCTAGCACCTCTATGGGGGAGGTAATATTCTTACTCATCCAGCTGAAGTTTTCTACTTTGCAAATTGGCTTACAACCAGCATTGCAAACTTGAGCCATTAACATATGACTTTGCAGTGCTGGTAAGATGGCAGCTGGCCAGGAGGAATGTTTTCTTGTTTAATCCAATTCAGGTTTTGTGGAATAGAAACAAGATGAACCCTAACATACAGTCTAATGTCTTTACCTAAATTAATTAATTCCTTGAAACAGAGTTTTGGCACAGAGAATTTACACACTTTACTGGATTTTGGCAGAAAAGTTGGTGATTAACTGGGTCTTCAGAAATAAACAGATACAGCTCTAACATACATGTTCAGGCTATTGTCTCTTAATGCTCAGAATTTGATAATCTTATCAGAAGGGTGTTTTCAAACTTGTAGTGTGATCCTGCAAACCTTACTCTCATCCTTGAATAGTGAGCTTGTAGAAGCATGGACCGTGTTTATTCAGTGTTTGGAAATACCTTGTCTGTACTGAGAAGTAGAGTAAATAAATAATGAGCAATCTTTATTCCCAGGAGAAGTCCTATTGAAGTCAATAGGGTTGCATACATGAATAAATGTTTTCAGGGTTGGATCCTTCCTTTGCTTTCTAAGCAGCTGATTCAAAATCCTTTGAAATCTATGGTTAGACTCCCATTGCTTTTAGTGGGCTTTGGATCTAGCCCTGAAGTCACTATGGCCCAGATTTTAAAATGTATTGAGGTGCTGAAAGAAAGATAGGCACAGAATGGGGTTTTCAAAACCACTGAGGTGCCTGACTCCCACAGACACTTAGGCATCTACTGGGATTTTCAACAGACCATATTTCTATCTTTTGGTACTTTAAATACCTTAAATACCTTGGCTCCATGGGCCTAATTCAGAGTCCAGGGAAGTCATTGACTTTGATTTGGGATTAGACTCTATGGGGCTTACAAAAGAAGCAAGTTTTGAAGTTTCTACTTTCATCTGTGCTTGAATTAGTGAAGATAATTTCTGATCGAGACCCACTTTAGAGTGGGGATTTTGTGAATTATATGAGTTACTGGGTAGGGATGGGCATGGGAATGAAAACCTTAATTGATTTTGTTTAAATTTGTTCTTCCCTCTCCTCCCTCACTCTATTTCTCCAAAAATAAACCACACATGACATTTTTTTGAGGAAACTGAGCAATTGGAAAAACAAATGGAAATTGGATTGCAGCCGTAAGGGTAGCTAGGCACTATCTGTGCTCACTTAAAAAACCACAACTGAGCCACTGGTCTATACTACTGACTTACGTCAGTATAACTATGGGGCTCAGGGACATGGAAAATCATACAGTTATAGCAGCCTAGGGATAGCTGTAGACAGGGCTGTGTTGATTGGAGGGCTTCTACCATCAGTGTAGGTAGCACCTTCACTAAGTGATGCAGCAGCACCACTTGGAGCGGTGTTGTAATTGTAGACAAGTCCTTATGTTCAGGCGCATGCCCACATAATTTTGATGAACTGAAGGACATTGAGATAAATGCAGATATTCTACAAAATTCTGTCAGTGTAGCCTTGAGGAAATAAAAGACATACGATTCACAAAGAATTGTGACTGGGCTGGATCAGCTAAACTCATATTGGAGGATTTTATTGATCACATGTTTTGTTAAATATTTAAGGGGCTTGAAAAAGAAAGAGCTTATAAAAGTCCAGCCTGGTTCTTTCCACACCTTTTTTTGTATCTGTGTAGGTTGGCTGAGTGAGGATGGAGCTGTGTTTTTACTAAGGGAAGCCATTCCTGGAATTATAAAGCTGGCACAGGGGGAAATTCCTTTTGAAATGATTATGTTCTTAGATTTTTACACAAGAGACCTGAAAGTTTCTGCTATGTGTTGCTTTTTTTCAGTTGCATGCATTTCAATTTCCATTTTACATTTGACTTGCCTGGATTGCTTTGGTGCTGCCCTTGAGTCTCATCGTAAAACTCCCCTGCTCTCTGTGACTAGATTGGAGAGTGGCTGTTAAGGTTTTGTTGGGTGAAGAAGGCTCCTTTGATTTTCTTTCTGCATCTGGATTAAAGTTTCTTTTTGGCTTGTGGCAGCTTGGTGGGAATTTACTTTTGGTCTTGACAAATACAAGTGGTGCCAGTTATCCTATTGCAAGCCTTTCAGTCGCTTGTGCTACTCCATCGCCTTCATTGGCAGCCATCCAACACCCACGCTGCCTTTCCAAAGGAACTTGATTCCAGTGCATATTGGCCCCTGCTGTCCTGGATCTGCGGAAAAAATACCAGGGAAAAGTAAAAAAGAACTTAAGGCACAAATGGTCTGTTCTCTTGTTATTTAAATATTTGTTGCCGTGTGGTTTTTTTAAATAATCTCTGTCTCAACTAGAAGATGTATATTCTCAAAGAGGCAGTGCCAATTTTCTCCCTTTGTCACCCCTTCTTTAGTATAGGCTGAAATTGCAATGAGGATCAAGACTTTTTGATGATCTTTTGTGTCTTCCAGGCAGCCAGCTGTATCTTGTCTGCTGTAGGGACCCCTTTGGCTGAAATCTTATTATAATTAATTCTTTGATGTTTTTCGTAGCAATCAGGAGACACTTAATTAGAAACTAGCATTGGTCCCTTAATTTGATTATGGGTTGGGCAATTTCTTACCTAATTTTCAGAAATATCTGTTGGAAGCTGATATATGTGTCTGTATGGGTATTTCCTTTTGCCCTGTTTGAAGTCTCTAATGAAAGTGTTTTTTGAAATGTGACATATTGCACATGTATAACATTGCTTCATTTTCAGGTTATGCATATCTCCCAGTTTAGAAAGCTCGTGTCCAACCATACCTTGTTTGTGCTCTTAAAGAGCACAAAACTCTGTGGGCTGACTTCTGTGTGTATCAAGTATAGATCTGCTTTGTTTTGTCTCCAAATACTTTTTGGCAGACAGATATTAATCTTATAATTAGGGACAAGTGAACTGGTTTGGGTGTGGGCCTACGGGATTGGGGTGGGGAGAAGACAACAGTACAGCAGCTCTTTAAACTTTGACAAGCTTTATATCTGAAAAAAATCCAACATCAGTAAGTGGAATGGGTGGAGGATCTTGTTGTCCAAGAAGACAATGACTGAATTAGTGTGAAGAGGGGCCTGCTCTGTTGCATTTAGATGTGTTTAACAGCACTGAACCATGTGGGGATAAAAAGCTTCCGAGGGGGTAGCCGAGTTACTCTGTAACCGGAAAAACTTAAAAAACAACAAATAGTCTAGCAGCACATGTCTTCAGGGCATGAGCAGGGTATGTGTTGTTGCAGTGTTTCTAAACTGGATTTTTACTGGCTGACTATATTGTCTTTTGCTCTCTGTTAAGCTATTTGTTTCCCCCCCACCCTAAACCACTTGAAAACTTCAAATGTACTATCTCTTCTATACTAGGTAGGGGGTGGAGTAGAGAGTTTCAAAAGTTTTGGCTAAGCATACAAATTTTGGAGAGTATCCAAATTCATCTCTGACCCTTCTGTAGTTTGCCCAAGTCTACTTCATCATCTCTTGGAAGATGACAATTGGGAGGGAAGCATTTCTACATTTTATATTTTGTGTAGCAGTTGCCTCTGGCTGTGTGGAGTAAAAACACATTAAGTCATTCGTTCCCAAACAGCTTTTGCAAGATCCTTTTATTTTGCCCCTTTCAATGAATGGATGTTTGGATAGCCTTCACTTCCTCCCCACCATGTCCCCTTGTACCTTGCTTCCCAACAATTATAGATGACATTGTCTCTACTAGGGATGTAAGTGAGTAATTGACTACTCACATTCCCCCCACCCTGCTGCCTCTGTATCAGAGGCAGCAAGGAGGGGGAACAGGAGCCGGTGCTGCAGGGGGCGAGCATAAAAGCTGGTTCCCTTGAGCACTCTATGATGCTGCCCCCCCCCTTTGCTATTGCCTCTCTGAGAGGCAGCAGCGTGAGGAGGAGACAGGGGAGCCTGCCACGAAGCAGCTTCTGCCTGCAGCGGGTCCAAGCTCTCCTCTGGGACTCCTTGCAGACAGGTGCTGCTGGACTGAGCAAACCTGGCTCAGTCCCAGCTTGCACCAGATCCGGGAGCTACCCTGGCTGCTGGTCTGCAGTTTAAATGTAATAGGAGCTGGGCTGCCTGCCCACCTGGCTCTTACTACATTTAAACTGCAGAGGTACAGCGGGGGTAGCTTCCAGACCTGGTGTGAGCCAGGACTGAGCACCTTCCCCTATTGACTAATAGTGTAGATGATAAAAATTCTATCAACTACAAAATTATTAAATACCCACTTCTTAACATCCCTAGTCTCTACATCCTCTTCTCCCTCTCTTCATGTTTGTTCCTTCTATTCTCTGTGGCTTCCCCGCCAGGCTGCCTGAGATAGGTATAGGGATGGTACTAGTAGCTTGGAGTGCCTCTCACAAACGTATTTAGGTACTTGTGCACTCACAGCAGAATAAATTAAGTGGGAGGAGAGAAAAGATGCTTGTGCCATTGGGCTACTACCTAATTCACATGGCTTGTTTCCATGGCTGGCTTCCAGTAGGTGCTGCTGCTGGGGTAGGATGTAACTGTGAGCTGCTTTCAAAACCACCTGTTACTTGTTCTAAGCACATACTTGTGGGAGGGATGGATGGATGAGGGCCTTAGGTAAGTTTCCTTGCTCCCCTCCTGTGCCCTACACAATCAGCCTTCATTCTCTTCACCAGTCTTCAGAACTATGTTATTTGAATGCCACCTTGGAAAACACTTATCTTAAGGCATTTCATACTGTGAATGATTGTTTAGGTCCAGCAATTATAAATCAAGTCTTTGCTTTTCTTACAGGCTGAACCCTTGGATTTGAAGGAAGGAGGCCCAGTGTATGCCAGTTAAATCACGACCTTGATGCCCTCCATAGTTTAACTTTCAAGGGGAGAACACTTCTGGCCTCTCTGACACCTTTCAGTCCGACTGAATCTATGACTGGGGGTTCCACCCTAGCCCCACCCTTTGCTGTCCCATTCCAGAAGATGGGTTCATTTCGAAGGCCCAGGCCTCGCTTCATGAGCTCCCCGGTGCTCAGTGACTTGCCACGGTTTCAAGCAACACGCCAGGCTTTGCAGCTAAGCTCCAACTCTGCCTGGAACAGGTGAGGGCTAATACCAGGCCTAAGGACTCTATTTGTAAATGTCTGTAGTTATTGACTTCAGAGGACTGATCTAAGGTATTTCAGACTTTTTTTCACTTAATCAGTCTGCAGGAGAGGATGAATGAATTTTGGGTACTCAGGTTTTTGTCTGCATTGGGAAACTGACTCATTGATACACGTTGGTTCTAACAACCTTTAATTTCCCTTTGTTTAAAAATGCTGAGGGATTGTGTCCATCTCCACTAGCAAACTATTGTCCATACTAGCTCAGAGGAACCCACTGATGACAGTGTTAGTAGAACTTCTACTTCCTCACATAGAAAAGACCTTTTTTCCCCCTCATATTATGAGGTCTTTCCCCTAATGTTGCCTGGTCAAGTCCTGTGACCAACTGCTGAAGTTGTCTGTTGGCGCCATGAATCTGCCATGACATTTATTAACATTCTAAATTAATAATCAAGTCTTGCCCTCAATAAATAGAAAGTCCATGTTGTCATATCCTGGACAGTACCAAGATCTCCTTTTTAGACTTTCTGCACTAGTGAAAAAGTTGTTGGTTAGAAAACTTGGCAGCACCTTTTTGGAGACACAGCAGCTTTTTCGGGCATTTTACAAGTATTGACTGTAATGCATTGATCCAGGACTCTAGGTTGGTCTGAATGAAATGGTGCTATTCTGTAGAATTCGCTCCAGAATGGACAAGAACCCACACATATTTCAGATGTACTGGTTTAGCTAGTCATCTGTCTCAAAACGCTCTGGTCCCAGGAACAATGCTAGGGTGCTCTGGATTAGATGCTCCTGGAATCTAGAAGCAGTGATACCACTGTGATTTTAAGATATAGAATATGTAGACGTGCCACAGCCCAGAACTTTGTGTGTTCTGTGTAATGCTTTTTCCCCTTGCTCACTGTAGACACATTTCTCCCTCCCTTGAAGAGCGTAGACAAAAAAGAGCAGCAATTTCCAGGGTAGAAAAAGTGGAAGTGTAGAAAGAAGTACCATTAACCTCTCCATCCCATTATGGTCCCCATAGCTGTTGGCAGCTAACTCACATTGCTTAGTGTGTTATATCATCCTAAAGTATGTTGTTTATGGATTGTGTACTGTCTTATTTCTCTTTGGCAGTGTTCAAACAGCAGTGATAAATGTGTTCAAAGGGGGAGGCTTGCAAAACAATGAACTTTACACCCTCAATGAAAACATCAGGTATGTTGCCAAGTTGTGTGCAGAGAGCCCTTTTGGTGTCAACCAGATGGTGAGGTGGGATGGAGTTTCTTGAAGTATTTGGCCTCTGAGGTTGGGATGGGAGATGTGTATGTAAGGTTTGAAATCTGCTGTTTGGATGAATGCATGTAGCTTTGCTCAGAACAGGTTATGCATTGATTTGGGTAGAGGGGATTTTCTCCTTTCTTTGGGAGTTTATCTCCTTTATTGGATATAGAGCAGCATTGTTAACTTTTACAAGTTTGTTGTTAGCCATGTGATATATGGTGTATTTTTTCACTAAAGCCCCAATTCCTGGAGTCATATTTATGGAAGACTCTCTGCTTTCATGAAATAAATAAGCTACAAACCCTTATGATGATGGAGATAAGCTTGAATATGTGAACCCTAATGGTTCAAAACTAGACGGTTCTTTTTATTTGCCTAACATTCATTGTTTTTAAAAAAGCTCAAGATTTTTTAGGCACATCTCATGAGTGTTTAAATGCTTAGACGTGGCAGGACTGATTCATCTAAGACAGTGGTCTCCAACCTTTTTAACCACAAGATCACTTTTTCAGTTTAAATGCAATGTAAGATCTACCTCAAACCTAAATACTCTTACCCCATTTCCTTCCTGCCCCTTCTCTGAGGCTCTGTCCCTGCTCTAACCCTTCCCCAAGGCCTCACCTTGCTCACTCCATTCCCCTTTCTTCCCCCATCCTCACTTTCACCTGGCTGGGATATGGGGTTGGGGTGCAGGCTCTGGTTTTGGGCCAAGGGGCTTGGAGTGTGGGAGGGGCTTCGGGCTTAGCCCAGGGAGGGAGATTGGGGTCCAGGAGGGGTTTCAGGGTGCAGGCTCTGTGAAGGAGTTTGGGTGCAGGGAGATTCACATCTGGGGCAGGAGTCTGGGTGCAGGAGGTGGCTCAGGGCTGGGACAGGGGTTCAGGAAGCAGGCTCTGGCTGGGCACCATTTAACTGAGATGGGTCCGGGTGGTGGAGCAGTGGGGTTAAGGCAGGCTTACTCCTGCCCTGGCCCTGCACCACTCCTGAAAGCAGCTGGCATGTACAGCAATGGCTCCATGGCACCCTATGCTGCCCCTCATCTACAGGCACTGAGCCCACAGCTTCTACTGGCCACACTTCCCTGTTATTGATCAATGGGAGCTGCAGGAGTGGTGTCTGCAGGCCAGGACAGCCTGTGGAGACTTCCTGCTCTGCTTCTCAGCGGGCTGCAGGAACATGCCAGCCATGTCTAGCAGCATCAATTACCACAGGGATAATTACTCCAGCCACAACAGGTTAGGCATTTTAGAACTCACTACCCAAAAAATGACATTTAAGCATGAGAGAGAAATGAAAATTATGAAATGCACAGACTAGTCATAAACCAAAAATAAACCACTTTGCAAGCAGTAAAAGAAGACCCTGCCATCAGCGTCCACCCCCTTCTCCCTCCCACACCCTGCACAACAAGCAGGAGGCTCCCGGGGGGCAGCTCTAAGGCAGAGGGCAGGAGCTGCATGACGGTGGGTGGAGGGGCAACTGAAGTTCCAGTGCTTGATAGCTTCCCGGCCAAACCGGTCAGGATCACGTGTCAGAGGCTCCAATATCTACCAGTAGATTCCACTCTACTGGTTGGTGACCACTGGTCTAAGAACTCCTCGTCAAAGGAGATTTAAGAACCCGGTCTACATTTGGCTACTTGAATCGTGGCTGAAAAGGGACTTCAGCCACAAATCTGAAAATTGTTTACTTTCTTAAGTAGACAAGACAAAACTATTATCAATATTGCTCAGAAATAAACTGATTCTTGGTTCTGTTTTGATTCTGTGGTAGAGTCCATTCAGCCTTTTACTTTCTGGCCTTTCTTACATTGAGAAATTCTTATTTCAAAACCTGCTTAAATCAGCTCGGTGAAAGAGGCTGTGGTTGCCTGAATTCTGGCCTACTACCCCACAACTTTCAACTGTTTTAAAAAATCTGTTTTGCTAAAACTGATTTGAAAGTAGGTTCAATTTGTTAGGTGAACTTCCCCAGTGTAGTTATGCCATACTGGCGATGTGCTAAAAATTCTTCTATCTGGTCTAAGTGAGAACTTTAAATGACTTCAGTACTGGTTTGGAGAGATCTGCAGCTTGAAAACTGTTTGCAGCAGCAGGTAAATTTTCTACCGTAGATAGGACTGTAGGTAAATGAATCTCTGTCACAGGGTCACAAAGACCAATTTTTTGTTACCTTTTTATCAAATGACACTAAATTTACTTTCCTAAGGCAGACACCCACAGATATTGCTTAATTATATGGTGTTCTTCCTTCCACCACCTATCTCGTTACCTACAAATTTACTCGACTTGAATGTTGTCACAGAAGGGGAAGTTGACACCTTTTATATAAAAATTAACCATGTGGCAATATTGAAGTTTTGTTGTACACTGAAGTTCACACAGCCGTGTCAGCTGAAACCCTTATTCATTAGCCTAACCCTTTCCCTATTTGCAAAACAAAGCCTAAAGATCTCAAAACTCTCCCCACTTTGTCTCAACTCAAAGGTCAACATTTCATACAATTCCATTCAGCCATGTTTAGGATCTTCTGAGTAACAGAACAGCACCTTTCATGCTCTTAATTATCTCTTTATGTGCTATCGTTGGAGTCAGAAGTCCCCCGAGTTAGTGTTGCGTAGGGGAGTTGTATTTGATGTACATGAAGAAATATAGTTCAGAAATAAATAAGTTAATGATTTCAAAATAGTGTAGTCAGTGGTGCAATTGATTTATCTTGCTGCAATTAATAGAGACTGTAAAGGGTTTGTTAAAGAACAGGATTTTTTGGGTGCAATTTAGAAATGTTCCCACCACCTTTACAAGCAAAGTTTGTTCCTACAGCTAGAGAGACATTTCTAGAGCTGGGAGCACAATCATGAAATAAGAATGGCCATACCAGGTCAGACCAATGGTCCATCCAGCCCAGTATTCTGTCTGCCGACAGTGGCCAATGCCAACTGCCCCAGAGGGAGGGAACACAACAGGTAATCCTCACGTGATCCTGTCACACACCTCCAGAGAAACAGAAGTTAGGGACACCATTCCTACCCATCCTGGCTAATAGCCATTGATGGACCTAACCTCCATGAATCTATCTAGTTTTTTTTTGAACCCTGTTAAAGTCCTAGCCTTCACCACATCCTCTGGCAAGGAGTTCCAGAGGTTGACTGTGGGCTGAGTGAAGAGAATAATAACACACTTACCTTTATTTAATATTCTAAGGGCTCGCCATGTTGGTTACATCTTCAAGATGCTTTTTAAAAGAAAAAACAAAAAGCACCAGCAGCATCCCATTGATTTCCCAAGGATCTTATTCCTCCACAAGATCATGTAAATGAGAAGGTGCTAAGTGGAGTAGCAAAGATGGAACTAGGGGTCGAGAGTGGTAACAATCCACTCTGGATCTTTGCCACAATGCTTCCCGCCTCCCTATCACTTGAGATTGCTTCATTAGCTCCTGTTTTATTTTCCTGTACTGAAGAGGCAAAGAAAGCTCGTTCTGCACTCAGGTTGACATAGATACATTGGTCAGTGGGGTTGTGAAAACCAGACCTCTGTCCTACATAGTTATTCCAATCTTAGCCCCAGCGCAGGCAGAGCAATGTTGATGCTTCCCATGATACAACTATGTTTGTCCAAGAGTGGGGGGTGTTCCTGTGCCAATGGAAAAAGCCTTCAGTGGGTGTACGCTACATGTTTGCTGCAGGCATAGAGAAGCCGGTATAGCCTCCATGCTATAGGTGTCAGAATACTGCAGAGAGGTGGGATTTTAAGAAGCTGGAAAGGAGTTGGCCATAGTTAGGCCATGTCTACACCACAGGTCTTGTAGCCATGGAGCTATGGCACAGCAGGTACACCATTCTAGTGCCATGTGGAAGGGGATTTTCCATTGCTGAAAGTAACCCACTTCTCTGAGAGGTGACAGTTAGCTCAACAGAAAAATTCTTAGCCTCATCTAGTCTGGGGGTTTGGTGAGCTTAACTGTTATGCTCAGGTGTGAATTTTTCACACTGCTGAGGTATGTAGCTAGGTCTATATAAGTGTAGCCCAGCTGTTAGTGTGAGACAGTTGAGATTCCCTCAGTGCAGCATGTGCCAAAATGTACAGGTTCATGTATCACCTTCTTAATATGTTGTGAAGTGAATGGGTAGAACATCAGCCTCACGTACCACCAGTGGTGCATGTATCCCACTTCAGGAACTACTGCCTAGAGACTTTACTTCCAAGAAAAGGCAATGGCACTAGTGTGTTACTCTCAGAACTAGAGTCCTTGGATTCATTCAGAGTCCACTGGCTCAGTACTCTGTGGGAGCACTTCTGAAAATCAGGCCCAAAAACACTAATCTTCTTGTAGTTGCCATCCCCTCCTAAGAAAGGACTTAACAGTGAGTCTAAATCTCTCCTATTTAGGGATGTGAAGGACTAGTTGACTATCGGATAAGCAAATGCTTATCGGATAGTTGGCAAGCTTGTTGACTAGTTGCTCCCCCACCCTTTACTGCTTGTATCAGAAAGAGGCAGCAGGGGAGGGAGAGGTACTTCAAAGTAGCAGCACCACATAGAGCCAGGGGGCCAGACCCAGGGCTCCACATGGTGCTGCTGCTTTGAAACGCCGCTGCAGGAGCCCAACATCAGGCTCCTCCCTGCATTTCAAAGCGGCAGTGCCACGTTGGGTTCCATGAGGCACTGCCTATTTGAAATGCCATGAGGAGCCTGACTCCGGGCTCCCACGGTGGCGTTTCAAAGCAGCAGCACCGCATGGAGCCCGGGATCAGCTGGAGACTTCCCGCTGACTCCGGGTTCTGTGTGGCACTGCCGCTTTGAAATACTGCGGGAGTCCAGAGTCAGGCTGCTCCCGGCATTTCAAAGCAGCAGCGTTGCGTGGAGCCTAGGATCAGCTAGGGAGTAGATGATCCCGGACTCCACGTGGCACTTTCACCTTTAAAGTGTAGCAACAGCCCTAGGGCTGTTTCTGTACTTCAAAGGCGGAGATGCCCTATCGACTAGTCGAAGAGTTGGTGCAAAATGCCTGCAATTTAACATCCCTACTCCTATTCCAGTCTGCCCATCCTCTAAAGAAAGTTTTTGCTGATAAAAGGATGTTGAATTTTAGTGTTTTGCACTGCAGTCACTCCTGTAAAATGCTTGAATTTGCCAAATTAAACTGTCTAAAAAAATACAGTCCTGTTCCAATCACTCTTGGTTCAGCATTATGGAGGTGTTTCCTCCTCATCATTGAGCTCAAGTAACACATCCCCCTTTGTATTAGCGGGAGATAGGTACATACGCTAAAAACTATACAGGCCTTTGTTATTGTCCAAAATGCTTCTGTGTGTACTAATACACAGAGATCTATGGGGAAATATGTACATGTAATACATACGTTCCCATGTAAAGACCTTTACATCTCCTCAGAGGATTGAAGCACCAAAAGATAATTTTACGTAAGAAATATTCTGTCATCAATATCTATAACTTTTTTGTCATCAATAACTTTTTCTGAAGACAGCAAATCTAATGGTAATGTGGTGTAGAGCTTTGAATCTGAACCTTGGAGTCAAACATCTCCCTAACGAGTAATATTAGTTCCACTAGAGACTTTCTATATGACCTCTCATGAATGGTGTGGAGAAAGTGAATAAGGAAGTATTATTTACTCTTTCCATAACACACACACAGACCAGGGGTCAGCCAAAGGAATTAATAGGCAGCAGATTAAAAAGTAACAGAAGGAAGTACTTCTTCACATAGTGCACAGTCAGCCTGTGGAGCTCATTAGTAGGGGATGCTGGAAAGGCCAAAAGTATAACCGAGTTCAAAAGAGGATAAACTTATGGAGGATGGGTTCATGAATGACTATTAGCCAAGATGATCAGGGACACAACCCCATGACTTGGCTGTATATAAGTTCTGATTGCCAGACCCTGGGACTGGATGACATAGGGTGATAATTGTGTTCTTTTCTTCCCCACTGAAGCACCTGACACCGATCACTCTCAGAAGACAGGATACTAGGCTAGATGGACCATTGGTCTGACCCAGTATGGCCATTCTTATGTTCTTACCTTGTACACAGTCACATCTCAGTGATTCAGTATTCCCATCTGTTAAATAGACATTATAGTACTAGTCTTCTGGGCATGCAGCCACCTCTTTTCATATATTTGGTTTGAAAATCTATTTAGTCAAAAGTAATTTTTTTTTCACAAAAATGTTGTTTCCAACTAAATTTAGCATTTTAAAACCAAAATTACATTCTTTCAATTTAATATATTTTCTCCCACTTTTTCCCCAAATGAAAATATTTTTGTTTGTTTGTTTGTTTGTTTAAAGGGAGTGTAACAACTTTATCTCATTCTTCTGCTTACTCTGAGCTGGTTAGGCCTCAGTTGGAGTATTGTGTCCAGTTCTGGGCACCGCATTTCAAGAAAGATGTGGAGAAATTGGAGAGGGTCCAGAGAAGAGCAACAAGAATGATTAAAGGTCTAGAGCACATGACCTATGAAGAAAGGCTGAAAGAATTGGGTTTGTTTAGTTTAGAAAAGAGAACATTGAGGGGGGACATGATAGCAATTTTCAGGTATCTAAAAGGGTATCATAAGGAGGAGGGAGAAAACTTGTTCATCTTGGCCTCTGGGGATAGAACAAGAAGCAATGGGCTTAAACTGCAGCAAGGGAGGTTTAGGTTGGACATTAGGAAAAAGTTCCTAACTGTCAGGGTAGTCAAACACTGGAATAAATTGCCCAGGGAGGTTGTGGAATCTCCATCTGTGAGATATTTAAGAGTAGGTCAGATAATGTCTATCAGGGATGGTCTAGATAGTATTTGGTCCTGCCATAAGGGCAGCGGACTGGACTCAATGACCTCTCAAGGTCCCTTCCAGTCCTAGTATTCTATGATTCTATGATTTTACCTCCCATCCATTTTCCAAATGAAGACCGTGGGTGGGGGAAATACCCTCAATTTGAAATGAAACTTATTTTTGTGTAAAACTTTTGTCAAGTGGTTGAAAACAAAACAGATAAAACGTTGAATATAATGAAAATGGCATTTGTATACAGGACTTTAGGGATGAGGAGTCATTCCTCCATAGTCTGTACATAACTGAGCAGAGGAATTATTTCAGAAAAATTCTGTGGAAGGCAAAGTTGTGTGAGAAATAGGACATTATAGATGATTATATTATACCTTGCAAGACTCAAGAAGGAAGGGGGAGGACAACAAAAAGTGGAAGACATAATGCTTTGCATAGACCTGTGTAAAATATGGAGTGAGAGGGGTGAATCCATGTTGAGGAGGCAACTACCTCTTTTCCCATAGTGAATGACATCCCTGCTGGAGATAAATGACCAGCAACCAGTTTATAACTCATGTTTCATCTCTTTTCAGACGTTTGCTAAAGAGTGAACTTGGATCCTTTATCACCGATTATTTCCAGGTAAAATGTCTCCCTTCATAGATAATTAAACATTGTTCAGTTGTCTCTGTTTTATTTTGCTCTTGAAAATTTTTTAATCTGTAGAGAAATAAATAGAATAGCTTCTTACAAGTAAGTAGCCTGCTTTCAAGTGTTCTCTGCCACACAAGTTCATGGAATCAAATAGTGTTTGTGTGGTTTTTTTTTTAATGAAGGGTCTGTAGAATCTGATGTTCAATAAATATTTGTTGTAATTTCTCTATATATTAAAAAAAAAAGGTTCCTGTGGGACGACAGAGTGAGATCTGCCCTGCTGCTAACCCCATTAGCTCAGAATGCGGCCTGCACAGTCCAGCCCTTCTCTGCTGGCCTGAGAGGGGCCAAGAGGCCCCAGGCTGGCTGTAGCGATGGAGGGCCAAGAGGCCGGGGCTGGCTGTGGGAGAAGGTGTGGAGGGGCCGAGAGGCCCGGACTCCCTTCCCCAGTGGCCGGGAGGGGAAGAGGCCAGGGCTGGTGTGGCCCTGTCCCTCCCCTCCCCAGTGGCTCTGGGGAGAGCCGGACCAGCCTATCCCCAGAGACAGAAGCTGGTGAACACAACAAGCAGGGGGCACAGCCTCCTAGTATATGGTAAAATAAAGATGATCTGAGTGTGTCGTTTGCTTGCTTGCTAGGATCGGGAAGGAATGTCTCTCCTAAGCTCATTGAACTGGGTGCACTGATGTTTCTTTTTGCCTTGGATTGACAGGGTTCTCTAGTGGCTAGTGCACAGGACTCTGGGATAGGAGTAGAGCTTGGCCCAGGGGAAAAAAAGGTGATCTAGACATGGATCTGTCACCTAACATAATTTGGGCCCTTGAGTAAATCACTTCCTCTCTGTAAATTAGGATTGATCCCAATGTTCCCTCCAGTTTTTCCACCCATGTGTGGAATAAATTTTATGTGCACGACCCACATGGTGCTGGCTGTGGGTGCTCAGCTAATCAGCTGGGAGGCATTTGAATCTCTTTTGGGTAGCCACCCAAGCACACAGATTACAGGGAACACTGTTGGTGCCCACTTTTTATAAAATGTTCTGAGAATCCTTTGAGATAAGTGCAAAGCATAGACTGGTAATTCCTGCTTCCCACACAGATGCTTAGTTTCTCATTGAATAACTTTACAAAAAAATCTAAATATTTAGAAATAGTGGATGAAATTTTCTCTCTCCAGCATGGGGGGAAGATCCTGCCCTATGAACAGCAATTCAGTTTGATCACAAGCTTGGGATCCCAGAGATGTAATTCCAGTTTGTGGAAAAGCAAAAATAAAAAACTGTGGAAGACAGAGGTAATTAGTCACAAATGTGCATAAATGTAACTGCCTCAAACTAATAACGTCACCACTTGTGGTTCAGACATGTAACCACATGGAAGTGTATTTTAGATGAGTGTAGGGGCATGCTAATGGTTTCAGTATTGCAATCATTCAGCAGCGCTATTTAAAAAAGAGCAGGACTGCTGAGAACAGCAGGGATTTCGGTATTGGTTTTATTCTCTACCAGTAAAGGAGAGAAAAAAATTGCACCACTTCCTGAGGTGGCTAAAGGTGCCTATGTACTGTGTTAGTAGTAAAAAACATAATTGACTGGTCTTGTTTCCTATCCGTAACAACAACGTGCTGTGCTGTTGACTAAGAAATAAACTCCCGTGCTGCAGGCAGCTATGTTTCACTTCTTCAGACACTATCTTCACAATTCATTTACTGGAAGGAGAAAATGTTTGCTTCACTTCATGGTAGGATGTTTCCTAGAATGTGAGCCAACAGAGCAGCAGTGAGACAGTAATGCAATGAATCCATATTGCAGAGAGTTTGGTCTGAGTGGAAATCTACTATTAGTGTAAGTGGTTTTGGATTATTATTTCTTTAAATTGCAAACCACTATATTTGTTTAGATTTGTGACGGACTTCAGAAGTACCTACGCAGGTGGTCAGAAAATAAAGTGCTGGGTCTGATATAAAAACTTTTGCACAAGAGAAAATGTACACTGAGGGTATGTCTGTACTGCAATAAAAGACCTGTGTCGTGGCTATGGCTGGCCCTGGTGAACTCACTGAGGCTTGGTGGGTTTTAAATTTGCTGGCTGGCATTTTGGTTTCAGCTGCGAGACCCTCTGTCTCACAGCTGAAACCCACCTTAATCTCTACACTGCAATTTTATAGGCCCACAGCCTGATCCCCCCTGAGCTTGTTAGCTATCCCGGGCTCTGAGACTCAGGGCAAGTCTACGTTAGGGGGCAATGTCGACTTAAAGAATGCTACTCAAACTATGTGAATAGCGAAGTTGGAGCCAATGTACCTTAGATCGAGTTTCTGCGGGGTCTTCCCTGGGGGGGCAAGGGGAAACTCTGTTGTTGACTTCCCTACTGCTTCTCATTCTGCTTTAGTACTGGAGGCAATGAAAGCGCAATCAGCAGTTGATTTAGATGGTCTTAGACCCACTAAACGACCCCTGGGAGATTGATTGCTGTAGTGCCAATCTCATCATAAGTGTGGACCTGCCCTCAGTGCTGCAGATTTTTGATTGTGGTGTAGACATACCCTATGGGGCATGAGACTAAAAAAAGAAAAGTGTGAAGCAATAACATGCTGGAAGGAACCATATAAAATGCTAGTGTGTAAGCACTGATTGACTCTGGGTGTTCTGTATTCTGTGTTCTGAACTATACTGAAAGGCTACGTCTAGACTGGCCCCTTCTCTGGAAGAGGCATGCAAAGCAGGTAAGTCAGAATAGGGAAATCCGCGGGGGATTTAAATATCCCCCGCGGGATTTAAATAAACATGGCTGCCGCTTTTTTTCCGGCTTGGGGAAAAGCCGGAAAAAAGCATCTAGACTGGCGCGATCCTCTGGAATAAAGCCCTTTTCCGGAGGATCTCTTATTCCTACTTCAAACTTTTGTTTTTTTTGTCTCTGAATGAGATGTGCTTGCATTATGGAAGCCAATTAGAAAAGTCCTTGATGGCTAGAAGCATTGGCCATAGGTGATGTTTGCTTGGTCTCTTAACAGTAAAGCCAAAGAGATAAGAGGCCATATCTAAAATCCCTTCTCATTGTCATTGGCTGGGACTCCAATTCAGAGCCAAGTCATAGTATTAAGTAGAACCTGGGCTTTTTTTTGTGGGTAATATGGGGATTAATAATGATATAATTGTATGATTAGCCTCAAAGACCACAATCAGGATTGGGATCCATATATGCTCAATATTGTACAAATACAAAAAAAGTGTATTTGTACACTGAGCTGGCAGTGCAAGGGCTATTTGAGTTAATTTTACACTATTTTGGGGGCGGGGAATTTGCACTCGTGTAACTGCATTTATGCAGCAGCACCAGTTCAAACATGATGAATGTTTTGCCACTGAAGTCAACAGAGCCAGAGTTTCACCTGAGTGTAGTCAAGTGTTAAAAATGTGTCTTGTCCCAGTCTGCATCACCCTGATGGGGGGAAGCCCCAGTGCAGGCATTCCATATGAGGGCAGGCATTCTGAGAGGTAGACTAAAGAGGGAAACACTTTATCTTCCCCTGATATGTTTGTGAAATTAAACTTATAGTGCACATGATTGACTATAAACAGCTGAAATCCCTTTCCATGGATTTCTGTCCAAGAAGCAGTAAGGCAGTGGAATGGCTGTACCGTAAAGATACCAAGCCTACTCATTGATATTTCTCTATCAGAGAAGAAATGTTTTCTTAATCAAGTCTCTGAAGTTCTTTATGTTGTCCACCTTCGTCTGCCTAAGTCACTTACTGATTGAAACTAGAGTAAATAGTGGATTCTCTGTAACTGGAAACCTTTTAATCAAGATTTGAGGACTCAGTAGCTCAGCCAGAAGTTAGGGGCTTGTTACAGAAGTGGATGAGTGAGATTTTGTGTCCTGAGAGGTCAGACTATGATCATGATGGTCTTTTTGGCCTTAACCTTTACGAGGTTAAAAGGTACAACCTTCCCTTTTCTGCCTCAACTATAGATCTGTTTTCCCATCAAGATGATGTGGGCAATTTTAAATGCTCTAGTGAATCTTCCAATTACCTGAATCTTCCAAAGCTTGAAAATTATATAGTGCCTGCAACATTTTTTGTCCTGTTACACTACAGGGTATGCTACACTATTGCTAAGTGCTAAGATAAATTTCAAATCACATTTTCCATAGTTTGAGTGCTGGCACTCACATAATTTTTAAAAAAATTGTTTCAGCCACTGACAGTTAAGAACTTTAATTTTCACCAACAGCCATGGAAATTACCAGGTTTTACACTGCATGGAATCTTCAAAAACTAGGTATCTTTATCTTTCTTAGATAGTCCCAATAAAGTCTTAAGGAGATTTTATCTTCAAAATCCCACTGTCTCAATGTAATCAAATGTGTCTTGTAGTTAAAATAAAACCACAGTACAACAGACTAATGCACTCATTCATATAAAGATCTCAGTGGAAATTCAAATGTGTGATTGTGAATGAGGTTTGTGTTACTAATCTACTGCCTGAGTAACCTTAGAAGAGATCTCAGCCATATTACTGAAAGTGACCTCTGAGCTTTTAAAGACCAAATAACCAGTGCCCAGTATATTCTGCCATTGCTGATTTACTGCAGGATCTACCCCACGCTGAATTTCCAGAATCCACATTTTAAGTTATAATCTTACTAGCCCTCATGCACACAAAAGCCTTTAAAAATGTAAACTATTGCATATTGACATACTGATACATAATGTGCTTGAGTCTGCAGGCAGCCTGAAGTGAAAGCTTTGGCAGGGTTGAACTGCTCCTCCTCACATCGTATGGGTTGTTAAGTCTCCAATCCAGAGGGAGGAAATGGAGATTTCAAGTATTTAGCTGCTGACCGCTTTAGCCTGAATACCCAGAAACTGCACTTACCGCAAACTGACGTGTTCTAAGGTGCACAGATCCACTCGTTCCTTGCCAGTTTCCCCTAACAACATCTACATGCCGTACAAAATTGTGGTGTTTCCCCTAACAACATCT